ATTTTTCAAAATTACAATTTTTCATTTTTCCATTTTTCACATTCTCGATTTTTAATTTTTTCCTTTTTCAATTTTTCGTCCCCTCAATTTTTCAACTCCCCGATTTTTATTTTGCATTTTCCTGATTTTTATTTTTCATTTTCTCGATTTTATATCACAATTTTTAGTTTTTTTCATTTCCTTAATTTTTGTTGTTCCTTTCGATTTTCCAATTTTTCGTTTATTCAGTTTTTCAAATTTTCCGGTATATCTATTCCAATTTGTCGATTTTCCAATTTTTAAATTTTTCACTTTGCAGTTTTTGGATTTCCAGTCTTCCGATTTTCCAATTTCTTTCATTTTAAATATTTCTATTTCATCATTCATATTTTTTTTTATTTTTCGCTTTTTCGATTCTTAAGATTTTTTTTATAATTTTTCGTTTTTTATTTTTGATTTTTCAATTTTACAATTTCTCGACTTCCAAAATTTTCACTTGTTCAAATTTTCATGTTTTTTTTTCAATTTTTCTTCAAATTTTCAAGTTTGATTTTCATTTTTTACATTTTTCAAGTTTTTGTAATACACTTTTTCGTTTTTTTATTTTTGATTTTTAAATTTTACAATTTGTGGACTTCCAAATTTTGCAATTTTTCAATATTACAATTTCTCATTTTTCCATTTTTCACATTCTGGATTTCTAATTTTTCCCTTTTTCAATTTTTCGTCCCCTCAATTTTTCAACTCCCCGATTTTTATTTTGCGTTTTCCTGATTTTTTATTTCTGATTTTCTCGATTTTATATCACAATTTTTTGTTTTTCCCCTTCCTTAATTTTTGTTGTTTCTTTCGATTTTCCAATTTTTAGTTTATTCAATTTTTCAAATTTGCAGGAGAATCGATTCCAATTCGCCGATTTTCCAATTTTTAAATTTCTCAAATTTTTGTTATACACTTTTTCGTTTTCTTATTTTTGATGTTTCAATTTTATAATTTGTCGACTTCCAACTTTTCCAATTTTTCAAAATTACAATTTTTCATTTTTCCATTTTTCACATTCTAGATTTTTAATTTTTTCCTTTTTCAATTTTTCGTCCCCTCAATTTTTCAACTCCCCGATTTTTATTTTGCATTTTCCTGATTTTTATTTTTCATTTTCTCGATTTTATATCACAATTTTTAGTTTTTTCATTTCCTTAATTTTTGTTGTTTCTTTCGATTTTCCAATTTTTCGTTTATTCAGTTTTTCAAATTTTCCGGTATATCTATTCCAATTTGTCGATTTTCCAATTTTTAAATTTTTCACTTTGCAGTTTTTGGATTTCCAGTCTTCCGATGATTTTCCAATTTCTTTAATTTTCAATATTTCTATTTCATAATACATATTTTTTTTATTTTTCACTTTTTCGATTCTTAAGATTTTTCAAGTTTTCATTTTGTAATTTTTCGTTTTTTATTTTTGATTTTTCAATTTTACAATTTTTCGACTTCCAGAATTTTCATTTTTTCAAATTTTCAGGTTTTTTTTCAATTTTTCTTCGAATTGTCAAGTTTGATTTTCATTTTTTACATTTTTCAAGTTTTTGTTAAACACTTTTTCGTTTCTTAATTTTTGATTTTTCAATTTTACAATTTGTCGACTTCCAAATTTTGCAATTTTTCAATATTACAATTTCTCATTTTTCCATTTTTCACATTCTCGATTTTTAATTTTTCCCTTTTTCAATTTTTCGTCCCCTCAATTTTTCAACTCCCCGATTTTTATTTTGCGTTTTCCTGATTTTTGATTTTTCACTCTCTCGATTTTATATCACAATTTTTTATTTTTTCATTTCCTTAATTTTTGTTGTTTCTTTCGATTTTCCAATTTTTCGTTTATTCAATTTTTCAAATTTTCCGGCCAATCGATTCCATTTCGTCGATTTTCCAATTTTTAAATTTTTCACTTTGCAGTTTTTGGATTTCCAGTCTTCCGATTTTCCAATTTCTTTAATTTTAAATATTTCTATTTCATAATACATATTTTTTTTATTTTTCATTTTTTCGATTCTCAAGATTTTCAAGTTTTCATTTTGTAATTTTTCGTTTTTTATTTTTGATTTTTCAATTTTACAATTTTTAGACTTCCAAATTTGGCAATTTTTCAATATTACAATTTTTCATTTTTCCATTTTTCACATTGTCGATTTTTAATTTTTCCCTTTTTTAATTTTTCGTTCCCTCAATTTTTTAACTCCCCGATTTTTATTTTGCGTTTTCCTGATTTTTTATTTTTCACTCCCTCGATTTTATATCACAATTTTTTGTTTTTTCATTTTCTTAATTTTTGTTGTTTCTTTCGATTTTCCAATTTTTCGTTTATTCAATTTTTCAAATTTTCCGGCCAATCGATTCCAATTCATCGATTTTCCAATTTTTAAATTTTTCACTTTGCAGTTTTTAGATTTCCAGTCTTCCGATTTTCCAATTTCTTTCATTTTAAATATTTCTATTTCATCATTCATATTTTTTTTTATTTTTCGCTTTTTCGATTCTTAAGATTTTTTTTTATAATTTTTCGTTTTTTATTTTTGATTTTTCAATTTTACAATTTCTCGACTTCCAAAATTTTCACTTGTTCAAATTTTCATGTTTTTTTTTCAATTTTTCTTCAAATTTTCAAGTTTGATTTTCATTTTTTACATTTTTCAAGTTTTTGTAATACACTTTTTCGTTTTTTTATTTTTGATTTTTAAATTTTACAATTTGTGGACTTCCAAATTTTGCAATTTTTCAATATTACAATTTCTCATTTTTCCATTTTTCACATTCTGGATTTTTAATTTTTTCCTTTTTCAATTTTTTGTCCCCTCAATTTTTCAACTCCCCGATTTTTATTTTGCGTTTTCCTGATTTTTTATTTTTGATTTTCTCGATTTTATATCACAATTTTTTGTTTTTCCCCTTCCTTAATTTTTGTTGTTTCTTTCGATTTTCCAATTTTTAGTTTATTCAATTTTTCAAATTTGCAGGACAATCGATTCCAATTCGCCGATTTTCCAATTTTTAAATTTCTCAAATTTTTGTTATACACTTTTTCGTTTTCTTATTTTTGATGTTTCAATTTTATAATTTGTCGACTTCCAACTTTTCCAATTTTTCAAAATTACAATTTTTCATTTTTCCATTTTTCACATTCTCGATTTTTAATTTTTTCCTTTTTCAATTTTTCGTCCCCTCAATTTTTCAACTCCCCGATTTTTATTTTGTATTTTCCTGATTTTTATTTTTCATTTTCTCGATTTTATATCACAATTTTTAGTTTTTTCATTTCCTTAATTTTTGTTGTTTCTTTCGATTTTCCAATTTTTCGTTTATTCAGTTTTTCAAATTTTCCGGTATATCTATTCCAATTCGTCGATTTTCCAATTTTTAAATTTTTCACTTTGCAGTTTTTGGATTTCCAGTCTTCCGATTTTCCAATTTCTTTAATTTTCAATATTTCTATTTCATAATACATATTTTTTTTATTTTTCACTTTTTCGATTCTTAAGATTTTTCAAGTTTTCATTTTGTAATTTTTCGTTTTTTATTTTTGATTTTTCAATTTTACAATTTTTCGACTTCCAATATTTTCACTTTTTCAAATTTTCAAGTTTTTTTTCAATTTTTCTTCAAAATTTTCAAGTTTGATTTTCATTTTTTACATTTTTCAAGGTTTTGTTATACAGTTTTTCGTTTTTTTATTTTTGATTTTTCAATTTTACGATTTGTCGACTTCCAAACTTTCCAATTCTTCAATATTACAATTTCTCATTTTTCCATTTTTCCCATTCTCGATTTTTAATTTTTCCCTTTTTCAATTTTTCGTCCCCTCAATTTTTCAACTCCCCGACTTTTATTTTGCGTTTTCCTGATTTTTTATTTTTCATTTTCTCGATTTTATATCACAATTTTTTGTTTTTTCATTTCCTTGATTTTTGTTGTTTCTTTCGATTTTCCAATTTTTCGTTTATTCAGTTTTTCAAATTTTTAGGCCAATCGATTCCAATTTGTCGATTTTCCAATTTTTAAATTTTTCTGTGTGCAGTTTTTGGGTTTCCACCCCATTTTTACTTTTTGGATTTTCAATTTTTCTTTTAAGTGTAGATTTTTCAAATTTTCGACAGTTTTTACTTCGATTTCTTAAATTTTTTTCAACTTTTGGATATTTTAATTTCTCGTTTTTAAAATTTTTGGATATTTTGATTGCTCAATTTCTCAATTTATCAATTTCTCAATTTTTTTCTATTTCTCGATATTTCGATTTTTGGATTTCTCGGTTTTTCGATTTCCCAATTTTTGGATATTTCGTTCAATTTTGCGAGTTGTCTCAGTTTTTCGATTCTTCCATTTTTTCATTTTGAGATTTTTTAGTATTTCGACTTTTGGGTTTTACACGTTCTGGATTTTTCGAAATAAAATAAAAATAAAAATAAACAATAAAATATTATTTATGTTTACTAAAATTCTTAATTCCGCCACTGAATACAAATATACAGGATGTCCATTTTAAAGAGTGCGAGGAAGACTGTCAATGACAACTGGAGGACCTACATGATGACGTCAGACGCGTGTATTTGGAGCTAATCAACGACACCTGGCTGCAGATTATGCATGGGTGGAAGTTTTCGATAAAAATTAATCGACCGATTAGTTTTTTCCGTTTACTTGTTTGCTCATGAATTTAAATTTAAAACCAGTTTTTATAAATGCTGTTTCTAGCTTAACAGTTACACAGATTTGAATTTACTTAAACAAAATCTGTGAAAAATTTATTTATATATTTTTCAACACAAAATCACTTAATAATTCCCCAATCTGACGTCATTGAGTGTTGGGTGAGGGTAAATATGACTAACGGACTTAAATACCGAGACAATCGACGAGCCATCGAACCCAAAACACTCAATGGTAGTTCTTAACGCACAAAACAGGTTCGCATTCAACTTAAGTCACATTCCAGCAGTCCCCAAACGCGCCAATCTCACCACAGTACCTTCCACCTCCTCACTAGTCAGTTCGTCGCACAAAAGTTTGAGAGCCGCACATCTCAATTAATTATTTAAATCGAAACTAAAAAAAAATCGTACGGTTTTTCAGCACACATTCCAGTTATAAAAGCGACCAAGTAGCTGTTAAGCAGTGACGAGATGAAGCTTCTAGTGGTTATTTGTGTCTTCGTAGTGGCAGCAAACGCCATAAAACTGCGTAAGTTTGTGTTTTCAAAAAAAAAAAAAATCAAAAGTGACGCATTTTTTTAGCATCCAATTTCAAAACATGCAACCGAAAACAGGCGAATTTCCGCGGTTGTTTGCTCGAAGCCGCGCGATTTGGGGTCACGCAATTAAATAGACCCTACAAAGAACTCAAAATGATAAGTCTTGACCCTTTAGTGATTCCCAAAATTGAGGCCAGCGTTGACGCACAATTGCTAAATATTAGTTCGGAGTTAACGGACTGTAAATTTTTCAACATTTTGCAGCTGGACATTCAAAAATTTGAGTAAGTTGTGTTTAAGTTTAATTCCACAGAAACTAAAATCACAAATTTTTGCTTTAGTGTGGATTTTGAAGCTAAAACCATCCAACTGTCGGCTTCTTGGCTAGAACTGAAAAGTGAGTGCTTTTACAAAATGTCTGGACAAATTCTCAAACACGACATCAATGAAGGAACTGGAATTATTAAAACGACTTTCAGTAAGTGTGTCTAAGTACAACAAATTTATCTACAACAATTTAACACGCTTTTTTTTTTTTTTAGAAAATTTTAAGTGGACGTTCGATTTAGCGTTCGAAGAGGTGAAAAAGCGCAATAAAACGTACGTCAAGGCTGTGACGGGTCGATTCGATGGAAAACCGGAATTTCTTAGTATGCAGTTCGACAGTCCTGAGAAGGGTGACCAGGAGTTAATCGATCGTGTGACCAAGGCTATCAATGATAACTGGAATGACCTTTTTGATGACGTGAAGGGTCTTTATTTTGAGAGGGTGACGCAGACGTGGTTCCAGATTATGAACGGGTGGTTTTCGAGGTTATCGCTGGAGGAAGCTTTCGATAATTGAGGATGTGTGTTTAAAAAAAAAAATTAAATATGTGTTGTAGAAAATTCCTGTGTTTGTTCTGAAAATATATTGTAACAAGGAATGTGTTTTCTTTTCAAATTTTGACACTGGTTCGTGTTAAATAAATGGTCTCGGACAAATATTAAGTAAAAGTGACAGAAAAATACAAGATTTGTTAAATGAATTAAGTATTTTTGAAATTCTCGAAATATTTTTTTACTAAAAATTCCGTCTTATGCTATATTTTATTTTAATTATGCAGGCAGGTTGTAAAGAATATTTACAACAATTTACAAAAGGAAAACAAAATACATAAGTATTAACAAAAATATATTTGTTCACCCCCTTCACTGATGACGACGTCAAATTATTTCAAAAATATTTATGTATACTTATATTACACCCCTTTAGTTACGTGTACAATACATATATGTATATATACCATCAAAACATCAAAAAATCGAAAAATTCTACAGAAATAGAAAAATTACCAAAATTGAAATATTGAAAAATTGAGAAGTCGGAAAACCGATTGTCAACTTGGATCAAAAAATCGAAAAATTGAAAAATCAATTAACCGCTAAATCAAAAAGTTAAATGAAATGACGCAAAATTTAAGAAATCGGAAAATTAAAAAAATCGAAAAATTGAGCAATCGAAATACTGAAAAATCGGAAAACCGAAACATCGAGAAACCTAAAAATTGAAAGACCAAGAAATTGAAACATCAAAAATCGGAAAAATTTAAAATTTAAAATACTGAACTGGGAAATTGAAAGATTGAAAAACCTACAATTTAAAAAATCTCGAAAAATTGCAGAATTGAAAAATTAAGAAATCGGGAAACCGAAAAGTCGGAAAATCGAAGATTAAAAAAAAACAAAAATTTAAAAATGGGAAACCTGAAAAATCGAAAAGTTGAAGAACTGAAAAACTAAAAAATCGATTAATCCGGAAATTGAGAAATCGCAAGTCGAAAAATCAAAAAATTTAGAGACCTCAAATATTGAAAAATTCAAAAATCGAAAAATTAAAGAATCGCAAAATTGAAAATTTGGAAAATTGTGAAATCCCCAATTCCTCAAAATACTAAAATCCTCAAATCCTCAAAGCCTCAAATCCTTAAAATACCTAAAATCTTCAAACCATCAAAATACCAAAATCCTCAAACCCTCAAAACACCAAAATCCCCAAATCTTCGAAACATCAAAAGCCTCAAATCCTCAAATCCTGAAAACACCAAAATTCTCAAATCCTGACAACACCAAAATTCCCAAATCCTCAAAACACCAAAATTTCCAAATCCTAAAAAATCGATTAATCCGGAAATTGAGAAATCGCAAGTCGAAAAATTCAAAAATTTAGAAACCTCAAATATTGAAAAATCGAAAAATTAAAGAATCGCAAAATTGAAAAATCGGAAAATTGGGAAATACCAAAATCCTCAAATCCTCAAAACACCAAAATTCCCAAATCCTCAAAACACCAAAATCTCCAAATCCCGAAAATCTATTAATACAAAAATTTAGGAACGTCAAAAATTGAAAAATTTAAAAATCAAAAACCGAAATTTCGAAAAATTGAAAAATCAAAATCTTCTATTGCTCAAAACACCGAAATCCTCAAATCCTCACAACACCAAGAGGATTAAAATCCTTCAATCACCAAAATATTAAAATCTGCGTATCCTTAAAATACCTAAATTCTCAAATCCTCAAAACACCAAAATCTTCAAATCCTCAAAACACCAAAATCGCCAAATATTCAAAGCGTCAAAATTCCCAAATTCTCAAAAAAAAACTAAATCCGCAAATTCTCAAAACACCAAAATCCTCATTACCCCAAAACACTAAAATCCCCAAATCCTCAAAACATAAAAAAAATCCCGAGATCCTCAAAACACCAAAAGCCTCTAATGCTCAAAAAACACCAAAATCCTCAAATCCACAAAACCTTAAAACCCAGAAATCCTCAAAACACGAAAATTCCCAAATCCTCAAAATCCCCAAATGTTCAAAACCATCAAAATTCCCAATTTCTCAAAACATCAAAATTCTCAAATTCTTGAAACATCAAAATCCTCAATACCTCAAATCATCAAAACTCAAAATATCAAAACCCTCAAGTCTTCAAAATACCTAAATTTTCAAATCCTCAATTGGTCAAAACACCAAAATCCCCAAATACTCAAAACACCAAAATCCTGAAATCCTCAAAACACCAACTTCTTCAAATCCTCGAAACATCAAAATCGTCAATTATTCAAAACACCAAAATCCCTAAATCCTCAAAACACCGGAATCTTCAAATCCAGAAAACATCAAAATCCCCAAATCCTCCAACCACCAAAATCTTCAAATCCCCAAAACATCAAAATTCCCAAATCCTCAAAACACCAAAGTCTCCAAATCCTCAAAACACCAAAATCCTCGAATCTTCAAAACGTCAAAATCCCCAAATCCTCAAAACACCAAAATCCTCAAATCCCCGAAACACCAAAATCCCCAATTCCTCAAAATACCAAAATCCCCAGGTCCTAATAACACCAAAATCCTCAAATCCTCAAAAAATCAAAATTCCCAAATCTTCAAAACACCAAAATCCTGAAATCTTGAAAACATCAAATTCCTCACATCTTCAAAGCACTAAAATCTTCAAATCCTTATAACATCAAAATTCCTAAATTCTCAAAACACCAAAATCCCTAAATACCAAAAAATCGATTAATGGGGAAATTGAGAAATCGAAAAATTCAAAAATTTTAAAACTTCGAAAATAACAAAAAAACGAAAATTTGAAAAATCAAAAAATGCAAGAATCGAAAAAGTGAATAATGGAAAAATCGAGAAAACAAGAAGTCGAAAAATCGAAAATTTAGAAACGTCAAAGTTCAAAAATTCAAAAATCCAAAAATTGAAAAATTGTAAAACTGAAAATACCACCACTAGATATCGAAAGATGGAGAAATCGAAAAGTTGAAACATGGAACCTTAAAAATCGAAAATTTAAAAAATCGAAAAATTGAAGAATTGAAAACTCAAAAATGGAAAAATCCAGAAATCAGGAAGTCGAAAAATGAAAATTTAGAAACTTCAAAAAATGGAAAACAATCGAAAAATCTCACCGCTGAAAAAAAGGAAAGTCGAAAAATCGAAAAGTCGACAAATGGAAGCCGAAATCGAAAAATTGAACAATTGGGAAACCGAAAAATCAAAAAATCGAGAAATCAAGAAGTCGAAAAAGGAAAAAATCGATTCATTCAGAAATTGAAGACTCGAAAAATTGAAAAATCCTAAAACTGAAAGTTCGGCAAATTGAGAATTCAAAGTATATAAATATCAAAAAAATCGAAAAGTCGAAAAAGCAAAAAATCGATTAATCGGGAAGTTGGGACACCGAAAAGTTGAAAAGATCGGAAACTGAGAAACGTCAAAAATTGGAAAAAAATTGAAAATTTGAAAAATCGAGAAATTTAGGACTCGAAAAATTGAAATATTCCACTATTGAAATATCGAAAAATCGAGAAATCGAAAAGTCGAAAAATTTAAGCGGCAAAATCGAAAAATTGAAAAATCATAAAGTTGAAAAGTCAAAAAATTGAAGAATTGGAAAACTTTAAGCCGAAAAATCGAAAAATTGAAAAATCATAAACCTGAAAATCGAAAGAATTGGAAAACTCAAAAACCAAAAAATCAAAAAACAAGAAGTCGAAAAACGAAAAAATCGATTAATCAAGAAATCGAAAAATCGAAAAACTGAAACTTCGGAAAGTCGAAAAAATCTAAAATTTAGAAACGTCAAAAAATGGAAAAAAAATCGAAAAATCGCACCGCTGAAAAAAAGGAAAGTCGCAAAATCGAAAAGTTGACAAATGGAAGCCGAAATCGAAAAATTGAACAATTGGGAAACCGAAAAATCAAAAAATCGAGAAATCAAGAAGTCGAAAAAGGAAAAAATCGATTCATCAAGAAATTGAAAACTCGAAAAATTGAAAAATCGTAAAACTGAAAGTTCGGGAAATTGAGAATTCAAAATATATAAATATCAAAAAAATCGAAAAGTCGAAAAAGCAAAAAATCGATTAACCGGGAAATTGGGACACCGAAAAGTTGGAAAGATTGAAAATTGAGAAACGTCAAAAAATGGAAAAAAATCGAAAAATCTCACCGCTGAAAAAAAAAGTCGGAAAATCGAAAAGTTGACAAATGGAAGCCGAAATCGAAAAATTGATCAATTGGGAAACTGAAAAATCAAAAAATTGAGAAATCACGAAGTCGAAAAAGCAAAAAATCGATTTATCGGGAAATTGGGACATAGAAAAATCGAAAAAATCAGAAACTTTTGAAACGTCAAAACTGAAAAAAATAAAAAATCGAAAATCTGGAGAACCGAGAAATTTAGGAATGCGAAAATTCTAAAAATTGTTAAATATCTACAACTTTGATTTTTTTCCCAAAAAACTAGTATAAAAATTCAACATGGATTCATAAACCACAAATACAAGAGTACGTTGTTAGGATAGATCAAACATGATGTACCTCAAGGACCCACCCTTGGACTAACACCATTTTACCTCCACATAAACGATCTATTAGAGATAAAACACAATCAATTTGAAACCTACTACCTCCCAAAAATTGCTCACACGTGTCAACGCACCACAATCGCTGACGCCACACACTTATTTGCTTAGACCGAAATACAATCAGTTCCAGATTATGAACAGGTGGTTTCAGATAGCATCACTCGAGGAAGCTTCCGATAACCGGAGATAAAAAAGCCCAATAATAAAAACAGGAAGTGAAAAAAAAAGTCCCGCGTGAATTTTTAACGACTTTGAAACATCCTCTTTGTCCGGTTCGTGCATTGATCGCATCGGGATTATCCATATCAACAAAGAAAGAAATTTCTCAGATTTTTTCTGTATCATTCTATAAACCTGTCTCTCCTCAGTCGCATTCATGAATACACTTAAACAATAAAAAACTGGTTATAATCACGAGACGAGCCAACGACCAAACAGTGCCAAAATGAAACTCTGCGTGCTAGTTTGTGCCATCGTCGCCGCCACTGAATCAGTCAAATTACGTAAGAATTCAAAATTTAATTAAAAAAAATAAAAATTGTGTACTTATTTTGAAAAATCCAGCCTCAAATTTCAAAACATGCAACCGAAAACAGGCGAATTTCCGCGGGTGTTTGCTGCAAGCCGCCCGACACGCACTCACGCAACTCAACCGACCGTACGACGACCTGAAAATGCCAACCTTGGACCCCTTGTACGTCAAAAGGATCGAAACCAGCGTCCACACGCTTTTATTCAACGTCACTTCGGAGTTAACTGAGTGCCAGCTCTACAATTTACTGCATCTAAACGTGGAGCAATTCGAGTACCCTATCACTTTTGTACTTTTAGGACTACCTATCTTAACCACTATTTTTATTTTGTTGTAGCGTGGACTTCGAGGGCAAAACTATCCAAATGAGCGCCTACTGGCCATACCAGAAAAGTCGCTGTTTTTTCAAAAACGCAGGCCAAATTCTTTTCACGGATGTCATAGCTGAAGGCGTAGTTGACATAACGTACAGTAAGTTATTATTATTATTATTATTATTATTATTTACGTGGAATATTATTTTATTTTCGTAGAAAACTTGAAGTGGACGTTCAATCTCGAGTACGAAGAGGCCAGAAAGGGCAATAAAACGTACGTTCAACTTTCTGACAGTAGTTTCGACGCTCAACCAGAGGACGTTATTTTTGAGTTAGTGAGGGTTCGTCGAGGCGATAAAAGTCTAGTTCGGAGCGTCATAAGGGCTATTAATAACAATTGGAGGGATATTTTTGAACTAGTCAAAGACGTTTATCTGGAGAAATCGAGGACGGATTGGCTCGAGATTTTCAGCGGTTTTTTCAGCGAAGTGTCGCTGGAGGAAGCTTTCGATAACTGAAATGTGTCTTGTAGTGAATGTAACAGTATTTAAATAAGAAAAAAATGTTCCTTTTTTCTATGATAAAATAATATTAATATTATATTAGTAGTCAAGGTGCGGTTTTTTTTTATGTTCTAAGCCCCTGAAAACAGTTCAATCAACCAAAAAATGTATTTTTTTGCAATTTTTCGATCAGAATTTCTCGGGTTTTCAATCTTTAATTTTTCAGTTTTTCAATTTGCAATTTAATCTTATTAAATCTTTTTCACTTTTTCGTTCTTCAATTTTTAGAGTTTGCAATTTTTCGAATTTGTTTAGTGTTTGGATTTTCCAATTTTTGTATTCAAAATTTCTCGAGTTTTCAATTTTTTTTACTTTCCAAAATTTCGATTCTATAATTTTTTATTTAAGATTGAAAAATCGAAAAATTAAAGAATCGAAAAATTGAAAAATCGTTACAATGAAACATCCGAAAATTGGGAATTGATAACACAAAATTCCCAAATTCTTAAAACACCAGAATCTCCAAATACAAAAAATTAATTCATCCGAAAAATTAGAAACCTCAAAATTTGAAAAATTGAAAGCGATTCCTTAATTCTTTAAATTTTGAATTTGCAAATTTTGGTGTCAGCTTTCATTTTCTTAATTTTTATAATTTTTCGGTTTTTTAATGTTCCGCTGCTTTATATTTTTTTGTTTATTCAATTCTAATTTTTTCAATTTTTCGTATTTTCAATTTTTCAAAATGCGATTTTTAATTTTTTGTTTCTTCGATTTTTTGATTTTGCAATTTTTCGTTTTAAAATTTCTCTAGTTTTCAGTGTTTAGTTCTCAATTTTTCGATTCTTTAATTTTTCATTTCTTCAAATTTTCGATTTACAACTTTTGGATTCAGTTTTTATTTTCTTTTTAGAATTTTTCAATTTTTCAATAGTACTATTTTATAATTTTTGCTTTTGCAAAACCAATTTTATCAATTGTTCGAATCCTAAAAACACCAAAATTCCCAAATTCTTAAAACACCAAAATCTCCAAATCCCAAAAAATCGATTCATCCAAACATTTAAAACCTCAAAATTTGAAAAATTGAAAAATCAAAAAACTGAAAAATCTAAAATTAAGAAATCGATAAATCGAGAAATCGAAAAGTAGAAAAATCGATTTTTGTTTTTGCAATAAGTATTTAATCAATTTCTCGTTTCTCCAATTTTTCCATTTACGATTCGTCAATTTTTCAGTTTTTTTTTGCTTTAAAATTTTTCTAGTTCTCAATTTCTTTTCAAAATTTCGATTTTTTTTATTTATGTACCCAAATTTTCAATTTGCAACTTTTGGTTCCGATTTTATAATCTTTTTTATTCAATTTTTTTTTCAATTTTCCCTTTCTTTAATTTTTTTATTTGTAATTTTTTAATTTTCTGAATTTATGATTTTTCTTTTTTCAATGTGAAATTTTTCAATTTCTGTTTTATTTCTTTAATTTTTCGCTTTTTAAATTTTAGATTTTTCAGTTTCACGACTTTCCAGTTTTTCGTTTCTTCACTTTTTGATTTGTAATGTTTCTAGTTTTCATTTTAGACATGTAATAATAATTTAAATACTTTTTCAATTTTTCATTTATTCGATTTTCCAAATTTTTGGATTTTCAAATTTTCAATTTCTTGATGTTTAATTTTTCAATTTTCCGATCTTCCAATGGTACAATTCGACAATTCCCCAAATCTTCAAATCCGTAAAATACCAAAATCCCCAAATTCCCATAAGACCTAAACCCTCAGTCCTCAAAACACCAAAACTCCCAAATTCTTAAAACACCAAAATCTCCAAACCCCAAAAAATCGATTAATCCAAAAATTTAGAAACCTCAAAAAAATTAAAAATCTGAAAAATCTAAAATTGAGAAATCGAAAAATTGAAAAATCGAGAATCGAAAAGTCGCAAAATGGGTTTTTCAATTTTTCATTTAAACTTTCAGGAATTTTCATTTTATCGATTTGCTAATTCTTCAAATTTCAGTTTTGGTCTTTGGTTTATTAATCAATTGTACTTTTTTCAATTTTTCGTAATTTCAATTTTTGAAAATGCGATTTTTTATTTTTTGTTTCTTCAATTTTTCGATTCTTTCAATTTTCATTTTTCAGATTTTCGATTTGCAACTTTTGGCGTCGGTTTTTTTTTTATTTTTAGAGTTTTTGATTTGATTTTTCAATTTTTCGGATTTTATAATTTTTTGTTTATACGATAACAATTTTATCAATTTTTCGTTTCTCCAATTTTTCGATTTGCTATTTTTCAATTTCTCATGTTTTTATTTTCTTAATTTTTACAATTTTTCGTTTCATCAATTTTTCGATTTGCAAGTTGTCGTTTCGGTTTTTTATTTGTTTGATTTTTTTTCTTTTTGTTGTGGATTTTCAATGTCATGATTTTATATTTCTTTTTTTTATAACTTTTAGATTTTTTAATTCTTAATTTTTTCAATTTTAGATTTTTCAGTTTCTCGATTTTTGAGGTTTTCATTTCTTGAATATTTGATGTGCAGATTTTCTAGTTTTCCTTTTAAATATACGTCTAATAATTTTAAAAATTCTTCTCTTTTTCAATATTTAGGATTTTCTTTCCATTTTCCTGTTATTGGATTTTAAAACATCATTCATTCGATTTTCCAATTTTTGGGTTTTCCAGTTCGATTCGTTTTTTCTTTCGAATTTTTCGGTTCGTTACTTTTTTTATTCGTAAGTTTCTCGATTTTGTAGTTTTTTCGAATTTTTTGGGTTTTTGGATTTTTAATTTTATGATTTTTCAACTTTTGGGATAAAAAAATATGGAAAAATTGCAAAATTGGAAAAAGTATAAAAACGAAACTTCGAAGATTCTAAAAATTGACAAACTGAGGAATTGAAAGATCCAGCATTGAAATTTTGAAAAATTGAATAAATAAAAAATTATAAAATCGAAACAATGAAATAAATAGAGGAAATGAAAAACCAAAAATTGTGATATAAAATCGATAAAATGAAAATTAAAAAATCAAGAAAAATCAAATTTAGAAACAGAGAAATCGACAAACGAAAAATGAAAGTTGAAAAATTGAAAAATTATGAAACCGAAACATCGAAAAAGGAGAAAATTGAAAATGCAGGAAAATGAAAATAGAAAAATTACAAAATCCAAGAAAGGGGAAAAACGAAACAATTTTTCGAAAAATTGTACGATTTTTTGATTTTTTCGATTTCTTAAATTTTTTATTCTCGACTTGTCAAATTTTCGTTTTAGTGGTGTTTCGATTTCTTGATATTCAATTTTTTTTATTTCTTGGTTTTTCAATTTTTTTTGTTAATTTTCTCAATTTTTGATGCTTCGATTTTTCAGTTTTTCTACATCTCAGTTTTGGAATTTTTCAGTTTGTTTGTTTAAATTGGTGACTTAAAAAATTGAAAAAAAAAATAAAAAAAAGAAAGGCATGGTTGATATAACGTATAGTAAGTTCAATTATTATTATTATTATTATTCGTGGACTGTTATTTTTTTAGTAAAATGACTGTTATTTTATTTTCGTACAAAATTTGGAGTGGACGTTCAATCTCGAGTACGAAGAAGCCAGAAAGGGCAATAAAACGTACGTTCAACTTTCTGACAGTAGTTTCGACGCTCAACCAGAGGACGTTATTTTTGAGTTAGTGAGGGTTCGTCGAGGCGATAAAAGTCTAGTTCGGAGTGTCATAAGGGCTATTAATAACAATTGGAGGGATATTTTCGAGCTGGTCAAAGACGTTTATCTGGAGAAATCGAGGACGGATTGGCTCGAGATTTTCAGCGGATTTTTCAGCGAATTGTCGCTGGAGGAAGCTTTCGATAACTGAAATGTGTCTTGTAGTGAATGTAACAGTATTTAAATAAGAAAAAAATGTATTTGTTTTGCAATTTTTCGATTAGAATTTCTCGGGTTTCCTATCTTTAATTTTTGAGGTTTTTAATTTGCAATTTATTCTTATTAATTCTTTTTCACTTTTTCGTTCTTCAATTTTTAGAGTTTGCAATTTTTGGAATTTGTTTAGTGTCTGGATTTTCCAATTTTTGTATTCAAAATTTCTCGAGTTTTAAATTTTTTTTACTTTCCAAAATTTCGATTCTATAATTTTTTACTTAAAATTGAAAAATCGAAAAATTAAAGAATCGAAAAATTGAAAAATCGTTGAACTGAAACATCGGAAAATTGGGAATTGATGACACAAAATTCCCAAATTCTTAAAACACCAAAATCTCCAAATACAAAAAATCAATTCATCCGAAAAATTAGAAACCTCAAAATTTGAAAAATTGAAAGCGATTCGTTAATTCTTTAGATTTTCAATTTGCAAATTTTGGTGTCAGCTTTCATTTTCTTAATTTTTATAATTTTTCGATTTTTTTAATGCTCCGCTGCTTTATATTTTTTTGTTTATTCAATTGTAATTTTTTCAATTTTTCGTATTTTCAATTTCTCAAAATGCGATTTTTAATTTTTTGTTTCTTCGATTTTTTGATTTTGCAATTTTTCGTTTTAAAATTTCTCTACTTTTCAGTTTTTACTTTTCAATTTTTCGATTCTTTAATTTTTCATTTTTTCAAATTTTCGATTTACAACTTTTGGTTTCAGTTTTTATTTTATTTAGAATTTTTCGATTTTTCAATAGTACTATTTTATAATCTTTGTTTTTGCAAAACCAATTTTATCAATTTTTCGAATCCTAAAAACACCAAAATTCGCAAATTCTTAAAACATCAAAATCTCCAAATCCCAAAAAACCGATTCATCCAAAAATTTAAAAACCTCAAAAATTGAAAAATTGAAAAATTAAAAAACTGAAAAATCTAAAAAATTGAGAAATCGAAAAATCGAGAAATCGAAAAGTAGAAAAATGGATTTTTGTTTTTGCAATAAGAATTTAATCAATTTCTAGTTTCTCCAATTTTTCCATTTACGATTTTTCGATTTTTCATTTTTTTTTGCTTTAAAAATTTTCTAGTTCTCAATTCCTTTTCAAAATTTCGATTTTTTGCATTTAAGTACTCAAATTTTCAATTTGCAAATTTTGGTTCCGATTTTATAATCTTTTTCTTCAAATTTTACAATTTTTTCAATTTTCCGTTTCTTCAATTTTTTGATTTGTAATTTTTTAATTTTCTGAATTTATGTTCTGTTTTAGTTCTTTAATTTTTCGCTTTTTAAATTTTAGATTTTCAGTTTCACAACTTTTCAGTTTTTCGTTTCTTCAATTTTTGATTTGCAATGTTTCTAGTTTTCATTTTAGACATGTAATAATAATTTAAATAATTTTTCACTTTTTCATTAATTCGATTTTCCAAATTTTTAGATTTTCAATTTTTCAATTTCTTGATGTTTAATTTTTCAATTTTTCGATCTGACAATGCTACAATTTTTGAGTTTTCTCGATTTTTCTTTTGTTTTTTGATATTTCAATTTGTCGTTTTTTTTTAGTTTTTCGACAATTCAATCTTTTCCGATGTTTTCATTTTTTCGAATAAAAAAAATATGGAAAAATTCATACTTTGTAAATTTGAAAAATCAAAAATGAAAGAGAAAAAGTATAAAATGACAACTTTGAAAAATCAAAAATTTGAAAAATTGAAGAAACGAGAAATTGAAGAATGCAATATTAGCTATTTTTTTTTTAATTTCTCGAGTTTTTAATTTTTTACTTTTTCAAAATTTCGATTCTTTAATTTTTTATTTAAAATTGAAAAATCGAAAAACTGAAAAATCGTAAAACTGAAACAGAAAATTGGGAAATCCTCAAATCCTCAAAATTCCTCAAATCTTCAAAATATCAAAATTTTCAATTTCTAAAGACGCCAAAATCCTGAATCAACAAAAATTCTCAAATCCTCAAATCCGTAAAATACCTAAATCCTTAAATCTTCGAAACATCAAAACCCCAATTTCTCATAAGATCAAAATCCCCAAATTCCCATAAGACCTAAACCCTCAAATCCTCAAAACACCAAAATCCTCAAGTCCTCAAAATACCAAAACACTCAAATCCTGAAAACACCAAAACTCCCAAATTCTTAAAACACCAAAATCTCCAAATCCCAAAAAATCGATTAATCCAAAAATTTAGAAGCCTCAAAAAATCAAAAAACTGAAAAATCTAAAATTGAGAAATCGAAAAATTGAAAAATCGAGAATGGAAAAGTCGCAAAATGGATTTTTCAATTTTTCATTTGAACTTTCAGGAATTTTCATTTTTCGATTCGTTAATTCTTCATACTTTGAATTTGCAAATTTTGGTTTTAGTTTTTGGTTTCTTAATTTTTATAATTTTTCGATTTTTTAATGCTCCGATTTTATAATTTTTTATTAATCAATTGCAATTTTTTCAATTTTTCGTAATTTTTGAAAATGCGATTTTTAACTTTTTGTTTCTTCAATTTTTCGATTCTTTAATTTTTCATTTCTTCAAATTTTCGATTTGCAACTTTTGGCGTCGGTTTTTTTACTGTGATATAAAATCGATAAAATGAAAATGAAAAAATCGGGAAAATGAAAAATAAAAATCAGAAACTTGAAAACTTGAGAAACTGAAAAATCTAAAAATAAAAAATAGGGATATTGAAAAATTCCAAAACAAAAAGTTGAAAAATATGGAAGTGAAGACATTGAAAAACTGAAAAAATTAAAGTTAGAAAATCGAAAAATTATGAAACCGAAACATTTAAAAAGGGAAAAATTAAAAAATTAGAAACGAAAAAAAAGGAAAAAAGTTTTTCAATTTCAACTTTCTCGAATTTTCATTTTATCGATTCGTTAATTCTTCAAATTTTGAATTTGCAAATTTTGGTTTCGATCATTATTGAAACATCGGAAAATTGGGAAATTCACAAATCTTCAAAAAAATCCTCAAATCTTCTAAACATCACAATCCTCAAATCCTAAAAACACCAAAATGGTCAAATCCTGAAAACACCAAAATTTCCAAATTCTTAAAATACCAAAATCTAAATCCCAAAAAATTAATTAATTCAAAAATTTAGAAACCTCAGACCAAAAATTGAAAAATCAAAAAACTGAAAAATCTAAAATTGAGATATCAAAAATTGAAAAATCTAGAAATCAAAAAAAGAAAAATGGAATTTTTAATTTTTCAATTTTAACTTTCTCGAATTTTCATTTTTTCGATTCGTCAATTCTTCAAATTTTGGTTTCGGTTTTAATTTTTTCAATTTTTCGTATTTTCAATTTTTCAAAATAATATACAAAATAATTTTTTTGTTTCTTCGATTTTTCGACTTTGGCAATTTTTCGGTTTAATATTTCTTTAGTTTTCAATTTCTAATTTCCAATTTTTCGATTCTTTAATTTTTCATTTCTTCAAATTTCACATTTTTTTTAATTTTCAATGTTCCGATTTTATAATTTTTGTTTTTGCAAAAACAATGTTATCAATTTTTCGTTTCTCCAATTTTTCGATTTGCGGTGTTTCAACTTTTCATTTTTTTTTCGATTCTTCAATGCTTAGATTTTGCAACTTTTTATTTAAAATTTTTCAAGTTTTCAGTTTTCACTTTTCAATTTTTCGATTCTTTAATTTTTCATTTCTTCAAATTTTCGACCTGTAATTTTTGGTTTCGGTTTTTATTGTCTTAATTTTTACGATTTTTTGATTCGTCAATTTTTCGTTTCGGTTTTTTGTTTTCTTAATTGTTTTTCTTTTTTTTTGGTTATTCACTGTATGATTTTACAATATTTCTTTTTTCAATGCGAATTTTTTCAATTTTAGAATTTTCAGTTTCTCGATTTTTCAATTTTTCTAGTTTTCGTTTTAAATATGCATCTAATAATTAAAAAAAAAAATCACTTTTTCAATATTTACGATTTTAGATTTTTTTCTATTTTTCTTTAATTGGATTTTAAAACTTCGTTCATTGGGTTTTACAGTTTTTCAAAATTTCAGTCTTTCGTTTCTTCAGTGCTTTGGTTTTTCAGTATTTTTTCAGATTTTTGGTTTTCAATTTTTAATTTTTTGATTTTCCAATTCTTGGAATAACGAAATGGATAACTTGCAAAATTGGAAAAAGCGTAAAAACGAAACTTCGAAAATTGGGAAATTGAGGAATGGAATAATCAAAGATTGAAAATTTGAAAAATTGAATAAACGAAAAATTATAAAATCCAAAGAAACAATGAAACAAATAAAGGAAATGAAAGAACAAAAAACTGATACAAAATCGACAAAATGAAAATGAAAAATAAAAATCAAGAACTTGAAAAATTGACAAACGAAAAATAGTACATCAAAAAATTCTGAATCGAAAAAATTACAGCTAAAAATCGAAAAATTTTGAAACCGAAACTCTGAAAAAAGGGAAAATTGAAAAATTAAGGATAATGGAAGATATAAAATCGACAAAATAGAAATGAAAAAATCGGGAAAATGAAAAATTCCAAAACGAAAAGTTGAAAAATATGGAAGTCAAGACATTGAAAAACTAAAAAAATTAAAGTTAAAACGAAAAAAAGGGAAAACGAAAAATTGTGAAATCAAAAAATTGGTCGAAGTCTAGATTTTTCGAAAAATTGTAAGATTTGATCTTCGATTTTTAATTTTTTCGTCCTTCTAAATTTTTTATTTTTGGACTCTGATTTCTTGAAATTTAAATTTTTTTCTATTTCTCGATTTTTCATTTCCGAGGTTTCAATTTTGGTATTTTTTAATTTGTCTGTTTAAAACGAATACTTTGAAAATCTACAAATTGGAAATCAAGAACTTGAAAAATTGCAGAAATGAAAATTTGAAAAATCAAAAATTATAAATTGAGAAACTTGAAAATCGAAAAATCGAAATATTGAAAATTAGAGAAATTGGAAAATCGGGCAATTGAGAAATCCAAAAATTAAAATTGAAAGAAACGTTGAAAAAAGAAAGGAAACGAAAAACGAAAAACTGCGATACAAAATCGACAAAATGAAAATGAAAAAATCGGGAAAATGAAAAATAAAAATCAGAAACTTGAAAAATTGAGAAACTGAAAAATCTAAAAATGAAAAATAGGGATATCGAAAAATTTCAAAACGAAAAGTTGAAAAATATGGAAGTCAAGACATTGAAAAACTGAAAAAATTTAAGCTGAAAAATCGAAAAATTATGAAACCGAAACATTTAAAAAGGGAAAAATTAAAAAATGAGAAACGAAAAAAAGGGAAAACGAAAAATTGTGATATCAAAAAATTGGTCGAAGATAAGTAAGTCTAGCTTTTCGAAAAATTGTAAGATTTGATCTTCGATTTTTCATTTGTTCGTTCTTTCAAATGTTTGATTTTTGGACTTTTTGATTTCTCGATTTTCATTTAGATTGGCCGATAAATTCATTTTCGGTATTTTTCAATTTGTCTGTTTAAAACGAAAACTTTGAAAATCTACAAATTGGAAATCAAGAACATGAAAAATTGTAGAAATGAAAATTTTAAAAATCAAAAATTAAAAGTTGAGAAACTTGAAAATCGAAAAATCGTAATATTAAAAAATTAAAATTGAAAGAAACATTGAAAAAAGAAATGAAAAAAAACGAAAAACTGTGATATTAAAAATTTTTTAAATCTAAAGAAAATTGGTCCTAGGCAAATAAATCCAGACAGATGACAGACAGACAGACAGACAAACAGACAGCAAACGGGAGACCTATTTCTTCGTACTCTAGGGGTCATGAAAAGTCGAGAAAAACCCGCACTAAGGAGGCGGAGCAGTGTAATACCCTCGCTGCTGGGTACCGACAACACTTTGTCTACCAATAAAAAGTATAAAATTATTCACATTCTTAAAAAAAATAATAATAACCAAAAAAACACAATATCAGTCGTACCGCAAAGGTTAACCGCCACATAATAACTCCTTTTACGCAACGTATAATAACCAATCTGAAAAACAACCTCACACCTCCCACCACCTCATAAAAATTTACACACAACGTCTTTCTTTCACTCGTTTACATCACATCACTACAAGGTTATAAATAAAGTGCGCAAAATAACTACCAAACCAGTACGAAAATGAAACTCTTCGCATCACTACTCGCGACCATCGTCGCCGCCCAAGCCGTCCAACTGCGTAAGTCTCACCCAAAAACCACCCCCGAAGCCCTGAAACCTTAAACCTTCCAGCCCCCAATTTCAAAAAATGCAACCGCCACCAACCCGACTTCCGCGGCTGCCTCCTGGACGCCGCCCGCTTCGGCGCCACCCAGCTAAACCGCCCCTACAAAGAACTCAAAATGGCCAGCCTCGACCCGCTATACATCCCGAAAATCCAGGCTAGTGTGAACACGCCCTTAGTGAACATCTCGTCGGACCTAACAGATTGCAAATTCCACAATTTGGTCCGAGTGGATATCGAAAAATTCGAGTGAGTGGCGTGGATGGAAAGCGAATTTGTTGAAACTTTTGCTTTCAGTATCGACTTCGAGGCGAAAACTCTTCATTTGGCCGCGTTCTGGCCCGAACTGAAGAGCGAGTGTTATTTTAAGATCGATGGACATATGTTGCGGAATCGGGTCCAGGGAGAGGGTCCGAGTTCGGCGATTTATAGTACGTTTTGAGTGACTATTTTTTTTTTTTTTTTGATGGGTTGTTTCAGGGAAATTCAAGTGGACGTTTGATATGACGTACGAAGAAGCCAAAAGGCGCAATAAGACGTATGTTAAGCCCGTGACGACCAGTTTTGACGGGAAACCAGAGTCGGTGTTCATGGATATGGGTTTTCTGGGGATTGATAAAGAGATGGGTGAACGGATTAATAAAATAGTGAACGATAACTGGAGCGAGCTTTACGACGACGTTAAGGGTTATTATCTGGAAAATGCAAGGGATACGTGGGTGCAGATTATGCATGGGTGGTTCGCCAGATTGTCTTTGGAAGAAGCCTTCGACTAAGAACTTGTTTATTTAATTAGTGTTGCCAGTGTGTGGTTTGCCTTCAAAATACTGCGGATTTTAATTGCGATATTCGATACTTAATTAGTCTGGCCGTGTTCTACTTAATAAAAATTGGTCACTTAGATACGGTTCAACGCGTAACATAATGCGTTCGAATCATAGATGGTGGCGGAGATTTGTCTCTATTTTTATTTTGATGTATCATTTTTTAATATAATTTTAAATATTTTTATTCTTTTCAATTACATATCTTTAAAAATATAAGTTTATTGTTAGAATTTTACAAAAATGTAATGTTATTTTAGTATTACGAAAGTTCTGTAATTTTGAAAAATTGTAAACACGGAAAATTCGAAGATGTTAAAAAACGAAGGCCTTTTAATATATCTTTTAATAATTTTCTAAGATGTGGTTTGATTCACTAACATAAAAATTGAGTATAACTAACAACTTCCCTGAATTTCTTAATTTATCAAGGCACTCGTAGTTTTTAAATTTACGTATACATGTTGATTCAAAAAAAAAAAAAATAAACTTAAAGGCAATTTATTGTATTGATTAAAATCAAGAACGACTCACTCCATTTTTCGAAAATTTGGGAATACGGTACTGTTATTATTTATTAGTATTACACTGGATTTGTCTAAATTGATGTCCTTGTAAAAATGTTGATTTATTTTAACATAAATATAAGGGTTATCATAAAAAATAAAATTCGCAAAACCAAATTTTACAATTTTTCGAAAAATTTGGATTTATTTGGTTTCGACCAATATCACAATTTTTTGTTTTTTCAAGTTTAATTTATTAATTTTGTCAATTTCTCGACTTCCAAATTATTCAAAGTTTTAATTTTAAACAGGCAGATTGAAAAATCCAGAAACTGAAAAATCGGAACACCAAAAAATTGGAAAATTTAAAATCTAAAAATTGAAAAGCCGAAAAATCGAACAACCGAGAAATGAGAAAAATCGAATAATTGAAAAACTGAAACATCGGGAAAGTCAAATATAAAATTATGGACAAATCGAAAAAAATGAAAAATTCAAAATGAAGAAAATCGATAAATAGAAAAATTGAAAAGTCGTGAAATCGAGCCATCAAAAAATCGAAAAATTGAGAACATGAATAAATTAAAAATCTGAAATGAGAGGAATGTCGAAAAATTTTTCTTTTTTCCTTTTCCTTTGATTTAGCAATTTTTGTTGTCGTGATTTTTCTTTATTCATTTTCTTTCGTTTTTCAATTTTTCCATTTGTCAATGTTTCGATTTCATAATTTTTTGTTTTGTCGACTCTAATTTTTTCAGTTTTTTTCAATTTCTCGACTTACAGTTTTTTCAATTTTTCGATTAGGAATTTTTCAATTTATCGATTTTTCGTTTTTTATTTTCTTATTTTTTAGTGTTTCTTTCGATTTTTAAAATCGAAATTTTTCAAATTCTTGATTTCCATTTCTTAGGTTATTCATAGTTGTCATTTTAAAAAGACAAATTGAAAAATCCCAAAGCTGAAACCTCGAAAAACTGAAAAATGGGAACCTCGAAAAATGGTAAAATCCAAAAATCTACAAATTAAAAAGCCGAAAAATAGAAAAAACCAATAATTGCAACATGAAATTTCAAATGAAAAATTAAAAATTGAAAAATTCAAAATGAAAAAATCGTTAAAAAAAAATTGAGAGAAGTCGAAGAATCTAAAATTTAAAAACATCTTGTTTTTTTATTTTCTTCCATTTTTCAAAATTTCCGTTTCATAATTTTTTGTTTTTTTAACTTTAATTTATTCAGTTTTTCAATGTTTTTATTTCCAAATTTTTCAATTTTTCGAATTGGAATTTTTCAATTTTGAAATATTTCAAATTACAATTTTTCTTTTTTCGGTTTTTGAATTTTATTTTTCATTTTCCCGATTTTTGTTTCATTTTCTTTATGTAGATTTTATATCACAATTTTTTGATTTTCCATTTCCTTGTTTCTTCAGATGTTATCTTTTTCGTTTATTCAATTTTTCCTATTTTCAATCTTTGATTTTTCAATTCCTCAGTTTTCCAATTTTTGAATTTTACAATGTTGATTGCTCGGTTAACCCATGTTTGAGAAATCAAAACATTAAAAAATAAAATCGGAAAGTCCAAAAATCAAAAATTTAAAAAAACGAAAAAATGAAAAATGAACATCTAAATCGGAAAATTCGAAAAATGGACAGATCAAAGCAAATTTTTTTTTAAATCTGGATTTATTCACCTTCGATCAATTTTTTGATGTCACACTTTTTCGTTTTTCTTATTTTTGATTTTTCAAAATTTCGGATTCACAGTTTTTTGTTTTCTCAACTTTAATTTTTTCAGTTTTTCAATGTCTCGATTTCCAAATTTTTCAATTTTTAGGTTTGAAATTTTTGATACAATTTTTCTTTATCTTTCATTTTTCAATTTTTTGATGTTTCAAAATTTCGGTTTCATAGTTCTTCAATGGTTCGATTTTCAAATTTTCCAATTTTCCGGTTTGGAATTTTTGAATTGAAAATTGTAAAATCCCAATACTGAACTGAAACATCGGGAAATTGAAATATGAAATTATCAACAAATCGAAAAAATTTAAAAATTGAAAAGGAAAAAAATCGATAAATACAAAAATTGAAAAATCGAGAAATCCAAACATCAAAAAATCGAAAAATTGAGAACTCCAAACATCAAGAATTAAATAAAAACGGGATAATAATGAAAAAATGAAAAATCTAGAACGCTAAAGTCACAAAATGGAAAGATCAAATCTTACAATTTTTTGGAAAATCTGGGCTTATTTACCTTCGACCAATTTTTTTTGCTTTTCCTTTTTTTATATTTTGCAATTTTTGATATCATAGTTTTGACATTTTTCAATGTTTTGATTTCATAATTTTTCGTTTTTTCAAGTACAATTTTTTCAATTTTTTCAATTTTTCTACTTCCAAATTTTTCAATTTTTCGATTTGGAATTTTTTTAATTTGGTAATTTTGCAATATTACAATTTTTCATTTTTTTATTTTTCAGTTCCTCGATTTTTATTTTTCCCTTTTTCAATTTTTCCAATTCTTGACTTCCAGCTTTTAGATTTTTCAAAGTTTTCAATTTATACTTTTTCGTTTTTTTATTTTTCAATTTTACAATTTCGCAGTTTTTCAATTTTTTTGATTTGAAAAATTAAAAAACAGGAAAACTGAACAATTGAAACATTAAAAAACGAAAACCTAAAAAATCCGAAAAAAATGAGAAATCGAAAAAGTGAAACAAAACGAAAAATTGCAAATCGAAGAACTGAAGAAACGAAAAATTGAAAAGAAAAACTAAAATTCGGGAAATTCAAAAATCGAAAAGGATTAATCAATCGAAAAACTCTAAAGAAGAAAAAACTAAAATAATCGAGAAACTGGAACAAAAAAAAGGTGTAACACAAAAATTTTAAAAATTTTTAAGGAGATATTGAAAATCTAAAAAATTAAAAATCGACAAAATAGAAAAATGGAATAAATGAAAAAATATAAAAACTGAAAAGTTGAAAAATTAAAAATATAAAAAAACGAAAAAATGATACATCTAAAATGGAAAATTCGAAAAATGGAAAGACCAATTTTTTGATACCACAATTTCGTTTCTTCTTTTTTTAATTTTTCAAAATTTCGGTTTCATAATTTTTTGTTTTTTCAATTTTAATTTTTTCAATGTTTCAATGTCTCGATTTCCAAATTTTTCAATTTTTCGGTTTGGAATTTTTGAATTTAACAATTTTCGAATTTTTCGTTCCCTCAATTTTTCAAATTCGTTTTGTCGATTTTATATCACAATTTTTGTTTTTTGTTTCCCTTTTGTTCAATATTGCTTTCGATTTTATAATTTTTCATTTATTCAATATTTCAAATTTTCAATCTTTGATTTTTCAGTTCCTCAGTTTTCCAATTTTTAAATTTTTCAATTTTGTTGTTATTGAATTTCCCTGTTATCTGATTTTCCAATTTCTTTAATTTTCAACATTTCGATTATACAATACTTCGTTTTCTCGATTTTGGAGTATTCCGATTTTTAAATTTTTCTTTTCTTCAATTTTTCAAGTTTTTGATTTCCAATTCTTAGGTTTTTCAAAATTTTCATTTTCAAGAGACAAATTGAAAAATGCCAAAAGTGGAAAATCGAAACATCAAAAAATGGGAAAATCCAAAAATCGAAACATTGAAAAACCGAATAACTGAAATGTTGAAATAAGTGAAATAGTTAAAAACCAAAAAATTGAAACAAATTAAGAAAATAAAAATCCAAAAAGAAAAATTGCAAATCGAAAAATTGAAGGAACAAGAAAAATGAAAAATTGAAAAACTGCTAATCGGAAAATTAAAGAAATGAATAATTGAAAAAAATATAAAAAAAAATAAAAAATCGAAATGAAAATTTGAACAAATGAAAAATTTTAAAATAGAAAAATAGAAGAACTGAAAATTGAAACTCGAGTATCAGAAATCTAAAAAACAAAGAAACTAAAATTTGAAAAAATTAAAATTGAAAAAACAAGAAATTAGCAACTAGAATCATTGAAAAACCGAATAATTAAAAAAATAAAATCCGAAGCAAAAAATTGAAAACTCGAGAAACTCGAATCGAAAATCTGCAAAATCTAAAAACTGAAAAATTCAAAAGTTGGAAAATGAATAACTGAAAAATTTAAACTTGAGAACTCAAAAAATTGTAAATCGAAAAATTGAAGAAACAAAATCAAATGAAAAATTGAAGATTTCAATAATTCTAATTTTCAGTTTTGTTTCAGGTTTTCAAAAATAACGATTTTAGCATATTTCAAAGTTCACGAAATCATTTTCCGATTTTTAATAAATTTTAGATTATGACGTTTTGCTGAAATATCTGTATTAATTTGAAGTAATGGATTTTTTAAAAAGTCCAAAAATTGTTTTTCTTTTTGTATATGCCTCAACTAGATAAAAATTATAAATTCAGAGTCCAGAATCTTCAATAACAATTTTATAAAGGTTACTGTAGGCTTCTGTAATTTTCAAAAATTCTAAACACTGAAAATTTAGAGGTCTTAAAAAATATTTTGACATATCTTTTAAAGAATTTTCTAAGATGTGGGTTATAATATTATTTTTCATAGAAATCGAAATTTTCGAAATACAATAAATAGCACTTCTTTAACTTACCCCCAGGAAATAAAAATCTCTCTCGTGAGCTTATTTCTTTTTTACCATTGCTTCGTTAAAGCTAATACATTTTTTCAATCCTACCGAACACCAGCCACTCGTTAAAATTAATACTCCAGCATTCGGATTCATTAAAATAAACGTTCACTCGAGCGGAATATTCATTACGTTGTAAAATTAATTT